CTTATGGAGCTTCTGTAATTATGTAGGAAAGTGTATGAAAGTAAAGGTAATAGGATATAGTACTCAAGGACATAAATTGGTGTCCTGGGTACAAATCTGATCTAGACATGTGACTTCAGGTAGGTTATTTTCCTTTCTAAGCCTTAGATCTAATGTCTACAATATAAGAACAGTGATACATTTATTGGGAAGATTAAATGGTTTAACAGTTTCTGACCTGGGTCCTGTTGAGCAGTTGATAAATGGCACTAAGCAATATCATTAACAAAGCTCTTTACCAACACCTGGCAAGTGCCCCCACCTGCCATGTTCTTTCTCTTCCCCCTATCCTTTCCTTGGGATGTACCAGGAACTTCCTTCTCCTGATTAGGACTCATTGCACAGGGGAAAAACTTTAGAGTGGCTCTCAGACCTCTTCTCCCTAATGTACACCCCATCTGCTCCCTTAGGAGGGAATTTGCCATGAGATCTGAGGAAGCAAAGCCTCTGTTCTGGGCCTCATGCAAATATTGGGCCGTAAGAGTGAAAGGAATGTGTCTACTAGGGGTCTCATCCAAGACTATGTATCTCTCTGTGGTTGCTATTTCTCTTCCAGGCAACTGAGCAGACATTCTGCTGATGGCTCTTAGCATTCCTCAAGGTAAAGCTTGAGGACATGTATTTTTATTTCAGAGGCCATGGTTTATGGAAGTTGCTGTTTCTTCTACTCATTTTAACTCAATAAACAACATTTTGCCATTTTGTAAATCTCTGTGCATCCCAAAATATTTGTACGACAATAAAACTTTGTGAAACATAGGCATTTATTAGCACTGTTCAACAGATCAAGGAAGAAAGGGCAATGTCTCTCATTTAGTGAAGGTCTAGTATGTGTCAGATGCTCATGAAATTCTCAGTCTTACTGAGGAGGAAGATTTGAAAATGAGAAATTGGAGAGAGCAAAAAGTTTTCTGGTAGTAACACCATGAATGGGAGGATCCACAGAGGAAATTAATCCAGTCTGTTTGACTCCCAAGACTTGGAGCCTAAACACAAGGCTCAGAAAAAATCCTTTTCCATTACTCATGCATTAGTACTAAAATATGACAGGGAGAGGGGTGGCCCACAGATTATTTGGAGGCAGAGTTTGTTATTTCTTACTTGATTAAAATAAAAACAGGAAAAGAAAAATCCTAAATAAGTAAAGAATCTGTCCCCAATAAACTTATAGAACATTAAATTCATTTGAATGACAGGGGAAATATCCACATGAATCTAGCATGCAGCAAACCTGAAAGAAATCATTTATTTATTTATTTATTTGGCATAGGGAGATTGAACCATTAAACCACATCCCCAGACCTTTTTATTTTTTATTTTTTGTTTTGAGACAGGGTCTCACTAAGTTGCTTAGGGCCTCACTAAATTGCTAAGGGTGGTTTTTAATTTGCGATTCTCCTGCCTCAGCTGGGATTACAGATGCCCAGCTTAAAGAAATTTTTAGTAAAAGCTAAGCTTTTGTTGCACAGTATGTAGCCAGTAGCCATATGTGAATATTTACATGTAAGTTTAAATCAGTTAAAATTAATATGGTTAATACTTTGCTGTCTGGATCTCCTGCCAACACTGCTGTCATCAAGAGCTGGGGAAGTTATGCCCTACTGAGCCTTCCATGGGAGAAACTGCAGAGCCCATTCATAGACTGGAATTTCAAAAACATGCCCTGATGGAGACTAGTGAGTGAGAATCAGGAAGGGAAGCCCTTTTGTCTTCCAGAGTGTCTCCCAGAAAATGAAGAAGGGCAGGAGGAAACTTTTGGGATGTGGGACTCTTCTGTGTGTTAGTGTGGCAGTGGTTTTGCGTGTAGATCTCTCTTCAAGCTCATCAAATTGTATATTTTAAATAGGTGGTATTGTATGTAAAATATACATTGATTTAAAAATATATGGTAAACACTAAACAATCAGACAAACACACACACATACACAGGAGGGCTAAGTGAAAAATGACAGAAAATATAAAGTTTTGATGAAGCTATGGACCTGTTGGAATTCTCATAACTCTGGAAGGACAAAATACTGAGACTGAGTACTTCGAGAAGAAAATAGGCTTATTTAGCTCACAGTTGTGGAATTGAAGGGCATGTTACCCATGTCAGCTCAGTGCTGGTGAGGACATCATGGTGGATGCCATCCATCCCAGTGTTGGAAGTGTGTGAATGAATGAGAAATCACATGGTGAAACAAGAAGCCAGAAAGGGGTTCAGGGGTTGGGTTTGCTCTTTTATTTATTTTTTTATTTTTTTAAAATTTACTTTATTTAGTTCTCGGCGGACACAACATCTTTGTTTGTATGTGGTGCTGAGGATTGAACCCGGGCCGCACGCATGCCAGGCGAGCGCACTACCGCTTGAGCCACATCCCAGCCCGGGTTTGCTCTTTTATAACAACCATCTCTCTAGAACTAACCAGGGTCCCAAGACAGAACTATTTTAATTCCTCCCCAGTGCCACAAGCTCAGTGGCCTTCCCATTAGATCTCACTTCTTAAAGATTCCACGACACCTCCCAACACTCACACAATGGGGACCATATGTTCAGCATATGAAACCTTGGGGGACAAACCACATCCAAGTGACAGCAGTCCCAAATACCATACAAGATCAATACTAATACCCCAGTAATGGTACACTGATACCCACTGTTTGGGGAGAGGTGAGAATTCCCTTTCTTTGATCTGAAATAGCAACTAAAATGTGCGGTTTTCTGTGAAGTACCTGACATGACACAAATGGGCAGCCTGCCAACTTCCTCAGGATCTTGCTGGGATTAGAAGGCAAATGTTGATAAAGCACATTGAGGCATTTACACCAAAGGAACAAGAGATTATGCTAATAAAGCTGTGCTATTTGTAGTTTACTATAACGCAGAAAAAAAATGACAAGCCAGTTTCTTCCATTAGGGTGCTCTAAGATCAAACATATTTGTTATTGTTTCTTTACCTTGTAAAATGTCTCATCTTGTTCAGAGATTTAGTTAAATGGGAGATTAGAACTCTGCCTTCTCACCTGCATCTTGAAGTATACTTTTGACCAAAATATCTCATGGCCCCAGAGACACTCTTCCAATCACATCTGAATATAAGTGTAAAGATGACCTGAATTTTTGCAAGTAAGGAAGGCTTAATCTTATGTAAAGGAGCATTTTAAAAGCAAAGATTGATTTGTTTATTTCTTGAATAAAAAATATGTCTCAGTTTAGCAAATTAGTAGTGCTAAACCACAGGGGAGGAGAGAAAAGGTGTGGGAGAGCACAGAGAGAATGCCAACCTTTTCTGTGCGGTTCTGATCAATCATTTCATTTATCACATGAGACCAGGCACAGCAGTTATTGCATTATAGGGCTTATCAAGCTCAGATCTTTGAGACCCCATTTAGTATTCCAGAAGTATGTGCTCTGATTAATAATAGATGGTTAGCTACATAGTTAAGTAGAATGATTGGCACCGTTTATTGGTTGTCTTTAAAAATAATTTAATGAAATTGGTTGACCAGAGAGCAGAGGTTTACTGTTGTGCTGGCTAACAAAAGCCTGTCTATAAACGAAGAAATGCCTACCTACAAAGATAAAGCTCTTAGAGCTTTCTGGAAATTTGCCATTGTGTGTCGTAAGCAAATTCTTTTGGAAGCTATGGCTCTTGAATCTTCCCTTTTTTTATAGAAGGATATTTATCCCTTTTTGGTAATCATCAAAATTTGATGCTGTTAAGCATATCCCTGAAAGCAGGCAAAATAATTAGAAATTAACAACTAGTTTGGTGCAGACTTTATTTGATGGACTGAGTAAAGTTTGGGAAGAACAGGCTAAAGTTTGGTTGTTAAAAATGGCCCGAAGGAAGTGAATAAACACGTAAGCCTGAATTTAAACATCAAAAGCACAAAAAGTAGAAAACCTGACATAAAGAGTGAGCCTGATGTGCATGTGTAAATGTGAATGATGAAGCTCACCCTTTCCACTGATGCTCACCTATATGAACTGCATCAACAGGATCACCTGTTCAAATGCTTCCTAATCATTTAGTATCAATAAGAAATTAGACAACAGCAAAAGTTACTTCATTGACACTCTGATCTATTCCTGCTTAGTTTCTGCATAGCAACCCTCTCTGGGTTGTGGTGACCGTCACCTCCTCCAGCCCTTCACGCCTAAGACTGTTCATGGCTCTCCACTGTGAGTTCAGGGACTACGCTACCAATCCATTTTGGTTCCCCAAATCTTGCCCACATTTGTAACTAACCATTTTATTTAAATCCCTCCATCACCCAGCTTGAGTGGGCTGTCTGATTCCTGCTTGGAATCTGATGTAGACAGTATCCTGAGCTCCATTTGTCAAGATGAGAGACTGGAAGTTAAGATAGCTCGTGTAGTGTGGCTGAAGAAACACAGCGAGTAATTGGTGATGATTCATTCTTCAAGAATACAGGGTAGGGCTGGGGATGTGGCTCAAGCGGTAGCGTGCTCGCCTGGCATGCGTGCGGCCCGGGTTCGATCCTCAGCACCACATACAAACAAAAGATGTTGTGTCCGCCGAAAAACTAAAATAAATTAATTAAAAAAATATATATACAAAGAATACAGGGTAGAGTGTCTTCAGATATTGCAGTGACTACAGTACACAGCTGTGGCTTGAGTGTTCTAAAAAGGAACTGGATGACAACTGAGAGGAGCTCACAAAACAAGGTGAGCAGGGCAAGTGTGCTGCCAGCTCTTCTGAGTTTTCCCATGGCTCAGTCCACCCACCCTGAAGTAAAGTGATAATAAGCAGAGGAATGAAGGTATCAGCACGTCTAAGCCTTACAAGTTCCTTGGAACACTGGAGACCGAACTGGAGCTTCTCAGAGTCAGCACCTCAACTGTGGTTATTGCTTTAGAAATCACCACTTGACTGAATTTGTCTTTGTACTGCTAACTCTCTGGCAACTCACCAAGAGAATCTAACTCTCCTCTAGCATTTTTCCAACAGGAATTAAAGATGAAGAGGATTTCTGCACAGTAAAAGGGGTATGCTGAGTGGGCTTCTCAGTCCATTTAAAATGAAGACAACTAATATTGATCACATGGCTAGTATATGGTAGATGTTGTGATGATAACTTGGTGTAAAATGTTAGTATAATGCTTCCATTTTGCAGATGAAAATACTGGACTGTAAAGATATTCAGAAACTGGCCTAAAGGCTTAAAGCTAATCCATATTAGAAGTGGGGCTTAAATCCAAGTCTGTTTGGTATCAATATCCTTGCTTTGAACCACTATATTATGTAGGTAACTGTATTTATTTTTCTTTCCCTTGCTTTCTTCTCTGAGATAGGCAGTACAGTTGCAATCACCTACTAAATATTTTCTACTATTACTATTCCATAATTCTGTGCTCTGATTTTACTTTTCCCTTACTTCTTCCCAAGCTTCAACAGATGTCATTTCCTTGATGGAAGAGTTCCTTCCTCCTTGCTGAAGGAAGGCCTGTCTTTGATCTTCCACAGCTTTGAAATTATTGAATCTAGATATTGTTCAACTCTCTTGTCTGTTCTTTAAATTGACAAAACAGATTTGTACTAAATGTTGAAAAGTAATGGATCGCTATTTAAGAAACGCTAAGAGCTCTTCCACTCAATATTTTCCCTGAACATAGAAGTATTTCCAATTATCCTGCTTTTCTTCAAACCTAAAATCAACAAATGAACAACATATGTCAACTCCCATGAAGGGCTACTACAGAATCCTGGCTGTTCTTACTTACTGGAAACCTTTAACATCGGTTCTTTGTGTTTCTGTTACCGTGACATTATTTGACTCTTTCCCATGTTTCCTTTTTCCAGCTACAAGGCACACTTCACAGAAACGGACTGATCATTACAAGTAGTATTCACCAGGTATGCTGACAGCTTGAAGTGGATTTCATTTATGTCCTTAGCAGGGTCATTTTGTCCTTATGATTATGTCAGTTCATCACATTATGGCATCTAGTACAACTAATATTGCCCTATTCATGCTTCAGATGTCAGCCCAAAGGTCACTTACTATGACCTGCATCTCTGACCCTCCAAAGCCACACTAGACTGACAAGTTCCCTGCCTGATCCCCTTCACATTAACTCCATCAGCATAGCTTTGCTTTTTAAAATATTTTATTTTGAGAACAGATTTAGGTTCACACCACAATTGAACAGAAGGCACATGGAATTCCTATATACTCCCCTGCCCCCCACTACACACAGAATTCTCCAAAATGGTAGCATGTTTTCTACAGTTGATGGAACTATATCAGCGCATTGTACTTAAAATCCAGAGCATACATTAGGTTTCACTCTTGGTGTTGTACCCTCCATGGGTTTGAGAAATGATACATATCTACGATCATAGTATCTTACAGTATGGTTTCACAGAATAGTTCTGTGCTAGGTATCTATCATTTCCGCACCCTTCACCCCTGTGAATCACTTATCTTTTCACCATTTTGATAGTTTTACCTTTCCTAGAATGTCATAGAGTTGGAATCATATGGTATGTAGCTTTTGCATATTGGCTTCTTTTCTGTACTAAATAATATTCCATTTTCTGGAGTTACCATAGTATATTTATCTTGTGGCCTACTGAAGTACATCTTGGTTTGGCAAGTTATGAATAAAGCTGCTATAAACATCCATAAGCATTCAATATCTTCCAGTATATATCAAGGAGCATGACTGCTAGATTGGATAGGGAGAGTATATTTTGTTTTTAAAGAAATTACCAACTGTCTTATAATGTAGCTATACTATTTTACATTCCAGAAATATATGAGAGTTTTTGTTGATTCACATCCTTACCACCATTTGAAGTGTTTGTGTTCTGGATTTTGGCCATTTAACATTTTAATATATGGTATTTCATTTTATTTATTATTCTGGTACTAAGGATTTAACCCAGAGGTACTTTACCATGACCTTCCTTCCCAGGCCCTCTGATTTTTTATTTCAAGATAGGATCTCACTAAGTTGTACCTTCATGCCTTACTGGTATCTTATTTTAATTTTCAATTATCTAATAATATATTTTGCAAAGCATATTTTCATATGCATACTTGTCAACTATCTTTTTTGGTAAGGTGTCTGTTCAGATCTTCTGCTCAAATTTTAGTTGTTCATTTTCCAGCACAGTTGTTTAATACCTGTGTTCCCTGCAGAAGTATCAGGTCCTTGAAGCCAGGGTCTGTGCCTTTTTTCTTACCGCTAGCTCAGGACCATAGGAGTAAAGAGTTTATTTAATGAAAGAATGAGTATGTGCATGAACTTCAACAGTGTTCTATAATAAATGAAGTGATCAATATGGTTCTGTTGACACCCATATTGGCCAGCTTACTAACTTTCTGATTGTGAGTAATTTACTCAGCTCTCTAAATCTCAATATGTTCATTTATAAAATAAAAATAGTAATAAAATAAAACTTTCTGCAGTTGTGAGAATTATGTGAGATAGAAAACACAAAAACACTGTGAACTCTGGTACTAGATATTTATAAGGTATTACTTATGATTAAGTGAAGCAAATTGAGCCTTAAATAACATTTCAGGAAAACTTCAGGCACAGAATAATTGTCATCCATTTCAATATTTACAGTCCAGTTACATTTGAGCTATTCATAGCTTCTGTTAAATGAGTACAGTGTGTTCTGGTGCAAATGTTTGCCACACATGATTTCTAATCATATGACCACCGTTCACTATTCTAGCATCATGTCCTTTTTTTTTTTTTTTTTCCACAGATGAAGAATCTGAAGATCAAAGAATTTAAACAACTTGTGCAAGATCCTAGTGCCTGAGCAGGACTTTGAAGCCAGGTCAATTTGATAGCAAATGCAAAGTGTGTTCTACTTGTCCTGAATGGTCTTTGACAACTATAATAAATCTTCCAAAATAATAAGCTCTATACTGCATTTTTAAAGATTTTTCTTAAAAAAATAATTTTATTTATGCAAGAGAAAATTAAGAAGCTAGAGAATTTCATTGGTTGCTTTGGATGACCTTTATAGAAGTGTCTCTACCATATGGCTTCCTTTAATTTGAGCTATGTGAGTTGGGTCAATAGGACTCTGCAGTTTTCAGCCCTCTGCTTCTATGGCCAAGGGCTCAAGCAGGGACTGTGATTAGTCCTGCCTTGGCTTACTTTAACACCAGCCTCTTCATGTCAGATATGCACAGGAAAACTTTCCCCAAAGGAACTGTATGTTTCAGCTCCAGGCCCAATATGAAGGCATAAATACATTTGTTCCTTACAACAGGGCCAACATAAATCCAGAGATCAGACTTGATGGAACATTTTTCATTACCTACATCAGGACCATTTATGTTTTTAGTGACTAAAAGACTGGACTATTGAGACCTATTTCCCACATCTTGCTATGGCCATAAAATTCCAGCGGAGAAAGGTTTCAGAGACCACTGGGAGAATAGATCACTTGGAAAGGGAGTTTGGAGCTGCATCTATTCCCACATACTCAGTCACAACATAACAGATGTAGATGTAAAGGAGTCTGTTAGAATCAGTCCCCTGCAAATTTTAGGAGTTTGACAATTGCTAGGATTTCTATTTTCGTCTAGACTCTGAAAACATGTTTAGTGCTTATTCTGCTTCCTAGGTACAGTATTCCCCTTCAGAATGCTGGTTGTTGCCCTAGTTTTTCTTTCCCCAAATCTCCTAGAGGCAGAGATATTTATCTTCTCTATATTGCTGCATATTTCTTCTTATAAAATCGACTCTTTGCCTATCATAAAACTAGAAAACAGTGAGTGCTCTATCATGATTGAAAGGCTACAAAGAAAAGTGATCTTTCTTCCCCACTCAATGCCCACCCCCTGCTCCTGATATGACCATCATCCCTGTCCTAAGACATTTGATGAGGTCCTTAAGGATCACAGATGTGAAAGGTTGTCCCCATCAGTAAGTCTGACTTCTGCCCTACATCACTGAATTTTATTACCTTTATCTGCTTATTGGATTACCATTAGCTATTTATCTTGACAAATGCATGACCATAAATATAATTTACTGGATTTTGAAAACTGTAAGTCATGGCTTGTTTGTATCATTCTTTGTTTCCAGGCAGAATTTAGTAGTACATATGTGTTATTAAGGAATCCATCCTCTATCCCACTATGAGGAAGGGAATATATTTCCCAGCTTCTTTCCTCTTTATTTCCCTGCCAAGGAGGCCCAAATAGAATCTGCCACTTGGTTTATATCCTTTTTTATTTTTTTCTGGAAACAGAAGGATATGGTTTTTGAGCAAAATATGGTACTTCCTTCACAGAGATTTGTATGTTAGTGATGAGCATGAGCCAAAAAAAAACTTTAAAAATATTCCTGACACCTATGCCTCATATATGTGCCAGTGAAGTTTTAGACAAGAATCCATGAAGTGAAGAATCTTCTGCTAGTTTACACTTAATGGGTGCATATCTTTTTTTCATATGAGCAGTGTTTTACGTAGTTCATGTCTTATGGTATTCTTGATGATAAAGAACTTATAATTTAGGTTCCAGTTGCCAGAAATGGAGTCTGAGGTTGGTGAAACACACTTTTACTTCAATGTGGATTCTCAAAGTTCTTAGAAATGCCTCTCTCACTTCTTAAACTAAAACTGCTAATGACACCTTACTTTTACCCCTGGGTGTTCCTTGCCTGGATAACTATGTTTCTATCTGAAATGCTTTTTTGGAATATGATAGGAGAAACTGAGGGGCAGGATATGAGCACCTGAATTAAAAATTTTACTTGGAGTTGAAGGCAAATCTGGAACTAGACTTAAGTGGCTTGGGCATGGAGAGACTTTCAAGAGTCTGCTGAGGGACTCAGCAGTCACTGGCTTTTAGACCTCTTTTCCATTGACTTATAAGAGAACAGAAGACTCACTTTCACCTGCACCCCACACAGGTGTTCTCCTTACTTCAGTTCCTTGATTCCCCTCCAGGGTCCCTGAAGCACTGGCCCAGGCTGCCTTCTGGTCTCTGAAACCTCTGTTTTAACACTGTGGGCCCTTTGCAGTGGGAGCAGGTGTATGTCATTCGTTCACAGTCAGATGCACAGAAAGATAATTTGCAAGTGATTTTATTATTTTGAGGAAGTGCAATTAAGAAAACAAAATATTCTATTCAAATAGACTCCAGAATTCTCCATTCAAACGTCTCAAACTCCTTGGGTGACCATTTCTCTTATTACCTGAATAAGATGAATCAAGTCTCTATCCCACTTTTTCCCATGTCCAGAAGATTTCTGAGGAGAGCTCTTGGTATCCTAAGATTTCTGGGGAATATATATGCATAATATCCAGCTTGGTAATGTGACTTTGGTTTTCTCTTGTTGGCTTCTTTCATCCCACATTGAAAACCACCCCAAAACCTTTCTTCCCTCAGAGTATTACTAAGACTTTTTGTGTGGTATGCAATGAAATTTACAGAAAGCTGAAATAACAGGATCTACTGCATGACTTGGCACAGGCAGCAACTGTGCCTTGGATATGAGACATCACTCTCTGAAGATTCCATAAGACCATTCCTTGCCACAGGTAGCTTATTAGTGGCCAGGCTCTCTTGAGTCCTATTTCATCACCAAGTTTTGAGGTCTTCTTCTTGCAGGACAGACTCACTCTCTTTCTTCCTGCTTCTTATTTCCAAAATATAAATTCTCCTCATGTCTGTTTGACTCAGCTTCCTACTTCACATTAATTTACAGGATAACCTCTGCATAGCCAAAAAACTTATGGAGATGCTCTGAAAAGAAAAGGATAGTCTACTACACTCAGCTATTCACATATTATCAACCCATATAAGGGGCATGGGCTGGAGGTACAGATGAGTGGTAGAACTTAGGGCTTAGCATGTGTGAGACCTTGGGTTCAATTCCAAACATGACACACACACACACACACACACACACAATTAATCAGTACAGTGTGGCCCTGATCAATCAGAGTGCGGGGCATAAACCTTCATATGACCAGTTGATGAATATCATTGAAAACCAACTCTGAAGCAAAAACATGAACAGAAATTATGGTTTTCTTAGGCAGGAATTTCTTCTTCCACAAACTTTGCAAGCACAAGAGAAATAGTCTAAAGAAGTGTGTTCCCACTGGTCAGGGCAAGTCTCCTGTTTTCCTTTCTCCTTCAAATTACACCAATATTATTGATATTGTTTATTAGTACATAGATTACCTATAAATGAGAAATGAACATTCATTCAATGCCTACTGCAGGCTGGCTGCCAACTGTATGTTATTTGAACCTCATACACTGATGCTCCAAGGTAGATAACATAATCTGTACTTAATGAGGGAAGAATGAGAGGCTCAGAGTCTTAAAAATGCTGAGTAACTTGCCCCAGGTCACACTCCAAGTAAGTGTTGGTGCTAAGATTTGATCCAAGGTCTGCCTGAGTTCTCAATATAGGCTTTTTCCTTGGCTTTTGGATAGGCAGTGATCATAACCCTAACAGTTGAAGAACCTAGGAAGCAGATGTCTCCCAATAGCATCACCTCCTGCCATATGTTGTCTAAACACACACCGAACTCCTTCGAGAAAACAAGCTGCTCTTCTATTTATAAAGGCCCTGAGTCCTCCAAAGCTTCTCAGCTGTGTGGAGCATATTATATCTACTTCCCTAAATCTTGCTATAGAGCATACACTTTATAGAAAGATTGTGTTTTCTCCACAAATGCCTATTGTCCTTTATCTTAAATATCTATTGGCACAATTTATTAATATGGTCCCAATGCTGTTGTTAATATTCCAGGTGAAGAATTATATAAAATAAAATGAACTGGGATGTAGAAAAGTTCTCATTTTCCCACTCAAGTAGAAATTTAAGAATCTCCTACTGACAACTGTATCACTGAGACCTGCGCTTCTTCCTATTTTGCTCTCTCCTTCCAATTATACCGATATTATTTATTAGTACAGAGATTACCTAGAAATGAGAAATGAACATTCATTCAGTGCCTACTGCAGCCTGAGTAACTTGCCCAAGGTCACACTCCTAAAGAAAACTGTATCACTCACTGACTGATGCAGATCTGCTGGCTCACACCATCAGAGAAACAAGAAATCTTGATTTTTTTTCTTGGAATCTTAGAGTTATCAAGTTTCTCAAGAACTTATTCCTTGTGAGAAAAGAAGAACAGATTCATTAACAGATCAGAGCAAAATTACTCTTTAATAAAAGAGATCCTGGGCTATGTTCATTTCTACTTTAGTCAGCTTTTTTGTCACTATGACCAAAAGACCTGACAAGAGTAACATAGAGGAGAAAAATTTATTTTGGCTCAATTTCAAAGGTTCGGTCCATAGTCAGCTGACTCCATAGCTCTGGGCCCAAGGTGAGTCAGAACATCATGGAAGAAGGTCATGCTAGAGAAAAGAAGCTTCAAGGATGGCAACTGGAAGCAGAGAGAGAGAGCGAGAGAGAAAGAGTTCTGCTCTTAAGGGACAAAATATAAACCCCATAGTCATGCCCCCAGTGACCTACCTCCTCCAGCCACATCTTTACCTGCCTTCAGTTACCACCCAGCTAATCTATATCAGTGAAGTAATCCACTGATTAGGTTACAGCTCACATAATCTCATCATTTCACTCTGAAAGTTCTAGAATTGTCTTATAACATTTGAGCTTTTGAGGGGACTCCTCATATCTAAACCATACCAATTGCCATGAATGAAAGGTGTCTTTCCTTGCCAATGAGTGTGAAAAGATTTAATAGAAATCCCAAAGATGGTGCTAAGACAAAATTATGCTAGACAAGTTCCCCTCCTCTTACTTCTTAGATTAGTGCATTCGCCTCCTGGCTGGTTCCTCTCTCTCTCTCTCTCTCTCTCTCCCTCTCTTTCTCTCTTTTATGTGCAGGGTTTGAGCAA